TTTTTTTTTTTTTTTTTTGAAATTTGGTAACATTTCTAATTTTTTTTATTATCTTTAAAATTAAAAAAAAAAGTTGTTGGTATTGTTTTTGAGATATACGTTCTCACTCTGTAGTCCACGTGAAGCTCACAGCTGACCCCCCTGCTTCAGCCTCCTAGGTGTTGGGATTAAGTCGTGCAGCACCGTATCTGGCCTGAAGTGCCCTGTGTTCCCATGGGTCCTGCAGCACGCCTGGGTTCTGGGCTCAACTTGCAGGCGTGTGTGCTGTGCTGGGAACAAGGGGCTGCTGAGGAAGCACCGGAGCTGTGGAAGTCATGATGCCAGCTGCATGGAAGGTCCTGCGTCGTGCGTGGCCAGGAGTCGGGCTAAGGTATCGTGCACAGTGCCTTTCTGGGCTGCTGGGGCTCTGGCTCTGGCTCTGGCTGGCTGGCTGTCTCTCTCTCTCTCTCTCTCTCTCTCTCTCTCTCTCTCTCTGTCCTGGGAATCAAATTTAGGACTTTGGTCTTGCCAGGCAGGCACTAATGCCACTGAGCTATCTCCACAGTCCCTGAAGTCTCTTTGGTGAATATGGCTGTCACATGTTTATACACTCAGTGCTTGGTAAGAGTACACATATTCCAAGTACTCTGTGCTCTGCTAAATTCTGCAGCCTAGAAAGAAGGTAAAAAGGGGTGACTTTTCTCCCCCAAGGAGTCACAGGCCAGCTTCCTATCTGGTAGGAACAGGAAGAGACAGTTGCTGGGAACCTTGCCCCAGGTGGTGGCCCTTCCAAAAGTGACGTAGTTGCAGACGGCGGGTGGTGGGGGTGGCAGGTGGTAACATTAAGAGCTGGTGCAGGCAGAGTGCATCCCTGGGGTCATAGAGTCCAGATCCACAGCTCCACTGGACGTGCTGCAGCCAAGCGCCTGTGGCCGGGTCCTCCAAATGGTGCTGTTTCTTATGCAGCCTTCCCACTGTGCAAGTTCAAGTTAGGTTCTGACGTGTACGAAATATGTGATGCTGGCTGTTACTTAACTTTCCTGGTGCCTCAGTTCTCCCATGTGTAAAATAGGGACAATGATGTAACTAAGTCACCATCAGAATTAATGAGGTAACACGTTTAGAGCCAGACTCAAGTCAGGGCTCAGGAGGGAGGCAGAGTTGTCTGCATCCTGAAGAGGGGCAGTGATTCTTCAGGGCTCTACCTAGGTTTTTCATTTTGTTAGTAAATATTTGTGCATAATGATCACATTCATTGTGGGGAATTGGTACCTGGACATAACACATCTCAATTCTTTTTCAGTCCTTTTTCCCAACCCTTCATCTCTTGAATCCCCCTTCCCTTTTGTAAAAGATCTATCTCCTATGACCTTTTTTTTTTTTTTTTTTTGAGACAGGTTCTTGCTATGCAGTTTAGGCTGGCCTTGAGCTCACTTTGCAGCCCAAACTGTTCTAGAATTCACAATAATGCTCCTGCATCAGCCTCCTGAGTGCTGGGATTACAGGCATGAGCCACCATGCCTCACTGACCTATGATTGATTGATTATTTATTTATTTATTTATTTATACCAGGAATCAAACTTACAACCTCACTTGCCAGGCAGGTGCTGTGCCACTGAGCTATGTCCCAGACTGATCTTTTATTTTATTTTTTTATACAGTATTTATGTATTTTATTTTTTAAAAACTTTTTGAGGCTAGCAATTATAACCCACTAGCTCTTTTTTTAAAAAAAATTTATTTATTTGTGTGTGTGTGTGTGTGTGTGTGTGTGTGTGTGTGTGGCCAGTTCAGCCCACCAGGGGGCAGGGCTGGCTGGCATGTGGTGCTGGGGGATTGAACCGTGGTCCCTGTGCTTTGCTAAGCTTGTTTTAAGTAGGTGCTTTAGACCACTGAGCCATCTCACCAGCCCTGATCTTTTATTTTATCCTGTTTTTATTTTCTTTTATTTTATCCTTTTATTTTATCTATCTTTTATTTTGTTCTTTATATTTTGTTTTTCTCATTTAAGAGAAACCTGTCATACCAGATAGGAAGCGGCGAGATGTTTAAGCTTGTGTGTCTGATGTGCTTCACTTGACCTTATGGTCTTGAGGTGCATCCATGTGCCTAAAATGACTCAAATTTGTACTTCTTTATAGCCGAGTTGTACTCCATTGTATATAAATACCACATTTTCTTTGTCCATTCATCTGTTGATATATGGGCTGCTTTCAAGATGTAGCTATTTTGAGTTGTGCTGCTATAAACATGGATGTGCATAGCTCACTGTGATATGTCTGACTCCTTCAGGAAAATACCCAGAAGCAGAATACCATAGCTGGGTAAAATGAAATTTCTAGTTTCATGATTTTAAGAAACCACTAAAGACCAGTGAGATAGCTCAGCTGATTAAGCACTCGCTTAGGCAAGTGCAGGGACTGTGGTTTGATCCCCGGCACCACAGGCTGCACCAGCCCCACCCTTGGGGTGTGCTGAGCTGGGTGTAGTGGCCTGTAATGCCAGCACTGGAGAGGCTGAAAACAGGAGGATCACTATGAGTCCGAGCTGTGTAGCAAGACCCTGTACCAAATACATAAAAAAAAAAAAATTGCCATACTGCTTTCCACAGTGTACTAGTTTACATTTCCACCTGCAATATGGACGTGTTCTTTTTTCCATTGTGTGTGTGTGTGTATTGAGACAGTGTATCACTATTCCAGGCTGTGTGTGCATGCGCGCAAGCATGTAGCCAGCTCAGCCCACCAGGGGGCGGGGCTGGCTGGCATGTGGTGCTGGGGGACTGAACCGCGGTCCCTGTGCTTTGCTAAGCTTGTTCTAAGTAGGTGCTTTAGACCACTGAGCCATCTCACCAGCCCAATGGAATAAGGTGTTTTTTTTTTT